ATTTTGTTTGGGTGTTGGAATCGTTGTTGTGGGGTGCTCGCCACATCAAGTAGGGATTTGGGTTATCCTTATTTTCCAACAAGTGGTATCTGAGCTCAAGGAAGTAGTGTAGTATTTTTGGGAAAATGACATCTCACAAATTTGAGGTGAAGTTTAATAGGAAAAATAATTTTGAAATTTGGAAATTAAAAATGCAAGATTAAATGTACATCAATGGTAACACAAGACATTACTTAGATAAGCAATCATTAAATATGATCGATAATGATTGAGAGGTACTTGATACGAAGGCACGAGTCACTATTCACTTATGTTTAGCGAATAAAGTGTTGTTTAATATTGTTGGGGAAAAGACAACAAAAGATTTGTGGGAAAAATTGTTAAGTTTGTATAAAAAAAATCTCTCACAAACTGAATTTTCTTAAAGCCAAAGTTCTATTTCTTGAGAATGAAAGAGGATGCGAAAGTGTCAGAACACTTGAATGAATTTAATAATATCATTTGTCAACTTGAAAGTATTATGTGAGATTGGAAGATAAGCCAGTCACCTTACTTTGTACATTGCCGGAATCTTACGATAGCCTTGTTATTACATTGAGTTGTAGTAAAAAAGATTCGCTTGATTAGTGCTCGGTTTGTAGTGTACTTGCCAATGAATTTCAAAAGAAACCATCGTTGGATGATTCGATGGGTTCGATGATGGATGTTCTTATAGCTAGAGGCTAGTTGGATGAACGGATTGGTTCATCAAGAGAATCCTCAAGTAGCCGATCAAAGTCAAGGGGGTCTTATGACAAAGGTTGTTGTTTTTGTGGCAAGCTTGGCCACATCAAGAAAACTTGTTGACAACAAAGATGGCAAAATTCCTCAAAATGTTTCGGCTTAGGAATAGAAGGGAAAGGGGAGGGCAAGAATGAGGATCACCAAGTTGAAGAATCAAGATTCGATTATATTGAAGATAAGGTGTTGATAGTGGGATGTAATCTCTTGTACTATCAATGTTGGGTTCTTGATAGTGGCGCCACACATCATATGTGCGCACATAGATCGTGGTTTGATGCTTATGAGGCATGTGTGGGCGGTTTAGCATCAATGGGAAACAATTCAATGAGTAAGACAATCAGAATGGGCACGATTCGCATAAGGATATATGATAGGATGGTTCAGACACTTGAAAAATGTGAGGCATGTGCCAGATTTAAAGAAAAGCTTAATTATACTTTCTTTTTTATATATTTCCGGCTACAAATTTACTGGGCAAGATGGAGTGTTTAAAGTTTCAAAGGGGACTCTAATTATGATGAAGGGAGTCTAGGAAGGAATTTTTTATAAATTATTATGGAACACAATTGTAAGTGAAAGAGAGAATGCCATATATGAGTGATTTTGACATCAGGTCGCAACAATCTCCACCTTGATGTAGAATGACACCCTTGCCTTCCCAACCATATCCCGTTATTCCCTTTTTGAAGAACTTAGAGAACTTAGCCAATTTCGCAAGCTCTCTAGCCCAATAACCTCCATAAGCATGCTTTGCTCATCTTTCTTCATGCTTGTGCTTCTCATGCAAACTCCACCTTTTTCAATACTCCCATCCTTGAGTTCTTGAGGCCATCTTGCCTTCACACATGGTCTAGGTGAATCATTTTCTACACACCTACAACAACAAACCAATGCTTGATCTTATATCATTGAGATCCTTTGCATAAGTCTCTCCCACGTAGGCTTCTTTATGTTCATAACCTTGGCAATGCTTGCCCATAGTTATCAAAATTTGAAGTATCCACTGCATTCCAAAAAACATTTCCTAGGCTAAACACAAGCCAATAAAGAAAACCACAAACAAGTGAAATAACAAATCGCATACAAATCATGGTAAACATCAAAATCAATATTAGAGTAGCATGCAACATTCTAATCACATCGATCCTTCGTTCACCAAATTTGAACATTGACCCAAAGGAAATTCATGTGGTGTTTCTGACTTCACATTCCCTTGTGAAAGTCCCAAATCTTCAATTTCCCCACCTTGCCAAATATCCTTATCAAGACCTTACTTTGTGTCACCAAGATCTTCAATTGTCAAACCATATGCTCCCTTTTGAGCTACACCTTTCTCTACAATGAAATTTACCCTTTCACTTATAATTATGCTCCTTAATAATTTATACAAATTTCCTTCTCAGACTCCCTTCATCATAGCTAGAGCCCCTTTTGAAATTTTGACCACTACACCTTGCCCGGTAAATTTGTAGCCTTCCACATCAAGCGAAGAAAGTGAAATCCAGTTGTTCTTTAAATCCGGCACAAGTCTCACATTTTCAAGTGTCCAAACCATCTCATCATATATCCTTATGTGAGTCGTGCCCATTACGATCATCTTACTTATTGAATCATTTGCCATTGATGCTAAACCGCCCTCACATGACTCATATCAAACCACGATCTATATTGGCACATATGATGTGTGGCTCCACTATTAAGAACCCAACTTTGATAGTACATGGGATTACATCCCACCAACACCTCTTCTTCAATATAACCGGATGTTGATTCTTCAATTTGGCGAGTCTCATTCTTGGCCTGACCTTTCCCTTCCTTTACCAAACCGAAACACTTTGAGGTATTTTGCCCTTTTCTTTGCCAGCAATTTTTCTTTATTTGGCCAAGCTTGCAACAAAGCCAACAACCTTTGTCATAAAACCAACTTGACTTTGATTGGCTTCTTGCCATAAGAACGTCCATCCTTGAATCTATCAAATCATCCATTGATTCCTTCTTTTGACGTTCATTGGCAAGAAGTGCACTACAAATTGAGCCTAAATCAAGATAATCTTCTTTACTGCAACTCAATGTAGTAACAAGGCTATCGTAGGATTTCAGTAATGTACAAAACAAGTTGACCGCCTTATCTTCATCCTCCATTATCACACCAATACTTTCAAGTTGACAAATGATATTATTAAATTCATTTAAGTGTTTCGACACTTTTGTACCCTCTTTCATTATTAAAGAATATAATTTTTTTTTAAAGAAAATTCGTCTTAGAAACAATATTGAACAACACTTTTGCACCCTCTTTTCCCACAAATCTTTTGTCATCTTTTCCCAATAATATTGAACGACACTTCATTCTCTAAACCAGTGTTTAAAAAAACGCCGAGTCGAGCCGGACTCGCCCGGTTCGACTCGGGAATCGCTATATGACGAATCGAATCGGCGAAAAAACGGGAATCGTCCGGTTCTAGAGAGAACCAGACGATTTTGCACAGTAACTCGCCGATTCATTGTACGGAATTGGCAAGTCCGTACGGAATTTTTTTTATTTTTTATTTTTGTAATCCATGATCAAATTTTTTGCTTCTTTTTTTTTTTTGTAACCCATGATAGAATTTTTTGTATTCCATGATCGAATTTTTTGTAATCCATGATCGAAATGTTTGTTTTTTTTCTTGTAATCCATGATCGAAGTTTTTGTTTTTGTTTTTTTTTTGTAACCCATGATAGAATTTTTTGTAATCCATGATCGAATGTTTTGTAATCCATGATTG